TATATATGATGATTAAATTTTCTTTCCAGCTGACTGTTGTTTATCGTCTCTTTCAATCCAATGTCTCATTTGCTTCATTAGACTCTCTCTGCAAAAGTCAACAACTCTTAGATTTGAACATCGAACACTGAGAAAGGAGAAACAGCTGCAGCCTACCTAATTAAGGCATGTATATATATATACTGCTTTCTAATTATTCTTTACTTCTTCAATTCTTTCGAGATCTAAATAATAGTTCTTTTATAAATGGTTCGAATATGTATCATCTTAATTCATTTATATAATCAGCACTAGTTACTCCATCTGGGTTGTGTAGATGTTCAGTGTTTGGACTAATTTAAATGACGGATTTCATATGAAGAAAGATTTCATATTTTATTTTTCTAATTAAAAGCACCTTCCATGTGTCGAAATTTAAGTATTTGATTTCAATACAACAGTTCGACTCTTACAAGACTATATGCTTTTCTTAAAATGCCTCGCCTTTTTAAATCCTCAATTTTTCTCTAATCAAACTATAACCTGTTATCCTCCTGGGCGAAAAATTAGAAAGAAACTCATCATTTAAGATAGACATTTGACATTTTTCCTTCATATTTTCTTCTTATAGTATATGAAAGCCCTTCTTAATCCTTAATTTATCCAAACACAGCATCATAATATATACTTAGATTTATGTTGTTTTTTTCAATATAAACACGTGAAACTAATTAAATCAATCCATTAGGATAAAAGAATAATTTGATGATATATAGTCAAACATATACAATGTATTCAATAGTCTACATTGTACTTGAATCCATTCCTCTCTCTTTTTGGCAGAAAACTTGTTTCATCCAATGGAGGCCTTATCTCTTGTTGGAGGTTCTCTTTTATCTGCTACATTTGACTTGCTATTTGAAAAGTTGAATGGATATCTAAGTGATCAACTCCGGAATTCAAAGGAGGAAGTACTTGCCCAGGTGGAAAGTTGGAAGATTCTATTGCCCAAAATCACTGCTGTACTTCAACATGCGGAAGAAAATCATGTTGTCAACCAGTTTGTGAAGTCATCTCTTGATGATCTTAGAGACCTAGCTTTTGACATGGAGGACATACTTGAAGAGTTTGTGATTGATGCTAAGAGGTCTGAATTGATTGCAGAATCTGAAGCTAGACCTAGCAAGCGACAAAGAATCGCCTCTAATGTCAAGCGTTTTTTTAGCTCTAATATGGCTAAGCCCAATCAAGAGGTTAATTCCATGCTAAAGGATCTAAGTGGTAGATTGCAGAAAATTGATAGTGGGATGCGTAGTTTGGACTTGATCAATTTGGCTTTGAAACTTGAAGATAAGTCTCACAGAGTAATTGCAAAAAGACTACCCGAGTCCTCACTTCTTGAGGACAAGGTGTTGGGTCGAGATAGTGATAAAGATGCTATTCTTCAGAGGTTGCTAGAAGATGGAGGTAGTCTGGAACAAGACTTTGTTGTTCCTATCGTCGGAATGGGTGGACTAGGCAAGACAACTCTTGCTCGGCTCATTTACAATGATGAAAAATTAGAAGGCAGGTTTGACTTGAAGGCATGGGTTTGTGTTGCTGATGTATTTGATGTTCCAAAAATAACACAAACCATTTTAGAACATTTAACTGGGGAAAGGTGTGACT